TTTATATCCAAGCTATTTAAAGAAGAGGAGTTTTTCTTCAGCTGTACAAAWAATTAGCTTGGGTAAATCAGTTTTCGGATTTTTACGCTCGGTCAAAGTTGCCGTAATGAGCCGTTTTTTCGGTCCCGGCTTAGCTTTTGAAACGAACAACAAAGCCAGSCTTCTCACTCACTAACCAATACTTGAAGTTTCACCAATGCTTYTACACTTAACTATATGCTTCTAACCATGACAACCTTGTCAATGTAGAAGTTTAAATCCTTTTTGAGAGATTTTTTAAAATCGTTTAAAAACGACGATCCGGTGTTGTTTTGTCATATTATAAACGTTATCTGTATCAACAATGGCTTTCAAAGCAACGATTGAATTCGTCTGCACTATTCCRCAAATTTCAGCCTTTTAAATGAAGATCGCTTATATTTCCATATTTTTCAAGTGCTWAAGATCCCACTTGATTTCTGAAGCTGAACAGCGAAAACTATATATCGATATTTTTGGAAAATAGAAAGAACTGCATTTATTGAACGTCCTTCGACTATAAATGGCGACACCAAGTGATAATATACATAATTGGTCTAATATTTGATTGACGGGTCGTAATCAGGAATCGCGCTTTTACRCCTTTATACACTTGAGAACTATTTACTTTCTCCGATCTTTGAGTAAAAACCTTTCGATTCGAAGATTCTGAATAGTTATTGGTGGCCCAAAGAATGCATATTACATGATTATTTTCGAGTATTTTCGATAAAGTCGATTATTTGCGTTTGCTTGAATTATTAAATCTTACAATTCTATATTTCGTAAGGGACCTTGCTTCCTGTGATTACTCCCCCCCCCTCCTCTCTCCTAAAAAATGAATGCTCCCTAAACAAGAATTTTTACAAAGTAAATGTCAATCAAAGGATACTGGATATGCTGTTACGAAGTTATACATATATACCGTAAAATTCCGGCTGTAAAAGTCCTGTTACACGAAATATGCAGTTTTTCTTGCAAGATGTAATGCAATGCTGATGAAAGCAGAACACTGCAAGTCGTAGGTGAGATGTTAGACGCGCGCAACTCTTCGCAACTTGCSCTTTTTTTGGTCTGCTATAACACCGGATATATCAGCGGGGCCTATGGAAGAGCTGCGCTTGTATTGGTCATTTGCAACACAAATTGTGTTGTGATGTGACGTGACAAAAAGTAGAAGCTCATTCAATTTTTTTGCAGATTGCAACGTTGCACTGCAAGTTTAAGAAAGGGTGGTGCTACATGTGCAATATTTTTTCCGACATGTAATGCAACGGCGTTTCATTGCAATTTGCGAGAAAAATTGCCTCGTGTAACAGGGCTTTTATGAGTTTCCACGTCTATGAGCCCACATGAGCCCTCTAACCTGCAACAAAAATATTCCTGTTTTACGGTAATTTAAAAATTAAATTSACCAGAATTTCTTTTAACGAAATTTTAGACGGTAAACGGTCTGCTGTGCTATAATGTCGTCAGCTATCTTAAGAAAGTCAAGATTGCATACAGCTGCAGCTGTTCATTACCAAACTAACAATGAGATCGATGTATGGCTTTTTCCGTTTCACTTGAATACCAGACGTGTCCAGGTCACAGGAAGCGCAGATCTCTTGGRGCATGGATATTGAAAACTTAGATAATCGTGATTGGGATTTCGCAAGTTCACAGATGTTAAAAGTGTCATATATGATTGGATGTTAAATTGCCAGAACACTTAATACCTCTCTTCCAAATTCATTTAAGGCCTTTTCTCTTGAAGCTTCGTCGACATTCTCTTCAATGTCTTCGTCTTCATCGATTTCATCAGGAATGACTTGTTTTGCTTTGACTCTTGAAAAGAAGCTCGCAATTTGCTTAGAAGTGAGGAACTCTTCGGGACCAAACATGCGGACACCATCTGCGTTTTTTGCTTTTCTCATTGATTTGGACGCTGTAACAGGATCTACCTTATGTCCMGTTTGTTCGCCAATCTTGAATAMGCCCATTAGATATTTTTTCTGAGCTTCAGAAAACCGCTTTCTCTGCTGTCCAGTAGATTTCAACGCCCATCCCATATCAAGTATAGGTAGCTCTTGTTCCAGCTKTAGAGATGGAATATCGGATGCAATTTCAGGTATGGCACTGGTAGCACCCTGCTCTAGCTTGGTTGCGTAGAGTATTATTGMTTTATCAAAAAATGTTTCGTGTTCAGGAGCATATGAATGCGCACCACAGTCAAGATGATTTAGAAGATATGAAAACTTTTGGAAATACTTAACACATCCCTCTTCTGGGCAGATGAATAGTTCTGAAGCTTGTTCTTCAAGGCTGCTGCTACAGCCTGTGTCGTCATCATCACTTTTTTCAACATTTGAGGAAGGTTGAACTGCCTGGGTATCTAATGCACTTGAAGTGGATTGCAAACGGCGTCTGGCGGTAACTGCAACAAACGAAGCTTTAGRACTGGGCATATCGGTGTTGGTACTTAATTCTGTCAAGGCATGCTTGGGGGGTACGTTGAGATCTTTCCACTCGAAAGTTGCTCAGGAAACTAATACCTTTCCATTTGATATCTGGGAATTTTGAAGCAGGCTGATTGCCACATACAGTCACCCTCACGCCAGGAATACCTCCTGATGAATCTATGGCTTCCATCATTTGCTTTGGAGATTCAACGTCGTGACCTGAATTAAGGTATACTCTCATCTTGTTCTTAATTGTTGCCGTCTTTCTATCACAAGATCCTTTTCCTCCTTGCGGTTCGGAAAAGTCTAGCTGGGACAAAGTGATCTGATACTTTGAAGCAATTTGTTTCAACGACAGCAAGGTTGAGGCGGCATGAAAACATCCTGCATTCTCTGCTCTTAGGTAAATGGTTATAATTTCAGGCGCTATTGTTTTGAGCTGCTGAAATACATCATCAACTATTGCCAAAACACTGCTGCTTTCTTGGGTGCAGCTTTCAAAAGGATGCACAAATGTTAGCATCTGCATCTCGCGGTCTTTGTCTCTCCTGATGGCCACGGTTATGTGCTCTCTATATTATC